AGATGTTCAGTAATTGGCTAAAACATTTTAAACCATCAGTTTGGTTCTTGAAACAATAAGGCAGGCTTTATTCATAACTTTTCTTATTGTTAAATTAAAAGACCAAAACCAACAATGTGTTAGTCCATTTCTCAATCCATTCTGACTTCTGTGTCTGCTCCATTTGCAGAAAATTTTGGATATTTTTCATAAAGCCATAAAAACAAAAATCTGTGGTTTGTTAATTCAAATGAACCTTTACTTAACTGACAAAAATATTTTCAATGGTTTTACTGACCAGTGTAATTATGTATTGTAAATATAAAGAAATTTAGAATTTGCAGGTCATTAAAATCTATTACATAAATTCATGTTTTTCTTATATTCTACAAATATACAGGACATTGAAGGAGATGGCATCCAGAGAGACCTGCAGAATTCCACCATGGGTGTATATGTCATCAACAAGGAGGGTGGAGAAATTGGAGTACATGATGACATTTATGTTGAAGGAGAAATCATTCTGGACAACATTGGATCTGTAGCCCAAGCATCTGCAATGATGCTGGGAGTCATCTATGTATTGAACTTGGCCTACCCCAAAGAGCTGAAATACTCTTATGAATTCATTCAAAATGTGCTCTTGAAAATGGATGGAGAAAGACTTTCCCCCAAAGTCCTTGGACTAAAGAACAAAATCATTGCTGGACTGTAGGATTTCTTCAGCCGCTCATGTAAACGCTGCTAAGCTGCATTTTTAAATCTGGTTTGGGAGGCGATAGAAAACATATAGTATGATGTAAAATGCAGCCCTAGAAAATGTTTCAAACTTAAAACAAAGTGAGTGGTGGACTTTAATACATAACCACTGGTGTGAACATTTAAAGTTGTCATTGGATTTAGTGGAATATTCACCTGAAATAAAAATTGCAATCCTGTAAATAGGCCAGGTTTCTATCCACACTCAGCACAAAAAGTATCCATCCATCCATTAACGCCATATGAATTTTAGAAGTTAAGCGCTTTGAGATAAACAGTTGATGATGTCTGCACCATTAAGGCATTGCATAAGAAGAGGACACAATGAGATGACGTCATTAAAAGAGCTCCAGTCAAAGTTCAAACAACGGGGAACCATGTGTAAAACATGGAATTATTACAATTCTTGTTAGTTTCATGTGAGAATGTTACAGCCTCCTCATTGCTTCACACAGATGTGATGTTTTCATTTGACACTATTTATTTTTTTTTTTTAGAGTAGCTTAAGCTTCAGTGGACATTTAAGTCACGTTTCATTTTATTTAGTAAGTCTGTTTCCATATTTATACACCAACTTTTTCACCTCAGCCAAACATAAAATCTATTTTGTTATATAACAATCTTTTTTTTAATTAGTATTTTTTTTAATGTAACTACAGTTTTTTGTAATTTCAGCATCAGGTCCTCAGTGTGCACTGTGTTGCAGCTGTGGACAGTTCTTGTACTATAGCATTTTTTGTTCTGTATAGTACTGGTGTATTTTGTTACTTGTATATGTTTTGTTGTGTGTTAAAAGGCTTCCCTCCAAAGTTCTCTTGTGTGTATATGTATACAGCCACTATTGTGAATATTTAAAGCTGCACTAATGATGTTTTGGAATATTGACTCAATGTAAGTTTGCAGTTAAATATAATCTCACGCAAGTTATTCAGTGTTCGCTGTCTTCCAGCTAATCTGGTGCACTTGTTTTGTTACGAATGGTACAATGTATTTTATGTTAATGGATGATATACTGCATTTTGTTATAAGAAAACAATTTGAGAAATGATTACTGAGTTACATTACTGCCATTCTTTGAGAGAGCAAAAATATCTCTTGGATCACAAAAATAAAGTTAGAGTTAAAAATATTGGGTTTGCTTTATTTGTCTGAATATTAATGAAAGATACAATAGATTAAAAAAAAATATTGGATTAAAATTAATTTTAATATGTAGAAATTAAACGATTAAATTGATCTGGTTGCACAATTAATTTGAGTTAATTCTACTCAAAATAGTTTAGCTAAAATTATGAATATAATTAATCTGAAATTACTGAAAGAGATTAATAAACTCAATGTATAAAATATAAGTAGAACCACTTTATAAAATATAAGTAAACTCAACTTAAAAATATAAATTCACTTAACTTAAAAAATATATCTGGATTTAGATAAAATTATTTCGTGCAACCCCTTGACGTAATAAAATTAAGTAAATTCAACATAACATTTTTTTCAGTGTGGTCACACAGCAGTAACACAACAAGCATTGAGTTTGGGCTAGCTTCTGCAGATGGACATTGCTGTACACTGCCCTTGATGGGTGAGTGGGGGAGTGTCTGTTGTCTCTCAGGTGTGAATTATTCATGAGCATTGTCACTCACACATACAGCTGAGATCACCCAAAACACACTTAACAAAATGTAGATCATTGTAATGTTTTCTCTGAATGAGAACAGAATAATTTCACATAATTGTGCAGTAAATATTCTAGTCTACAAGACTGCTTACTCTAAACTCTTGTTCAGACACATTCAGTCTGGTTTATGGATCTTATTTCAGCTACATTTTTTCTCTAAAACCAACTAACCACACATAATATTTATTTATAAAACAAAAGCATGTACATCAATATTTTCCACATATTATTGTAGCTCAGTTTGTGCTGAACACAAATAAAACACATGTTGGCCAGTTCTGTGTAATAAGCAGCTGAAATCAGCACAGATGTCAGGGCATGTCAAAACATCTCAGGGGTCCCAAAATCACCTCAGACCCCTGAGGGTTAACTACAGGTATAGTATGAGCAGTGTGAAACACAATCACTGATAAACCAGAATTCCTGTTATCTGGGGTTTAGTATCACCCAGGGTTAACATGTTCAAGCATGAAGAGCTCTAATATGAAACTGTCTGACTGTAGTTATTGTAGAGTGGAGAATCATTTACCTCAGTGTGTCCAGTTTACAGTGTTGACTCTTCAGTCCATCAGAGAGCTTCTTCACTCCTGAATCCTGCAGGTCATTGTTACTCAGGTCCAGCTCTCTCAGCACACAGTTTGAGGATTGTAGAGCTGAAGACAAACTCTCACAGGACTCAACAGTGAGATTACACATGACAAATCTGAGAAAGAAGAACACAGATTACATTAACAGTGTGATTTCAGTCATTCATCTGATGTAAAATCAAACTATGAGTTTAATAATATGACAAAACTATTGGAATTTGTGTCAATTAGAATTATTGACTATTGTTATTTAATAAAACTGAATATTAAATGTCATCTAATATATTCTTGAATACTTTGAAATGTGAGAAAACTGCTAAATTTGAGTTCAGATAAGAGGACCACGAGACTTTATATATTTATGATCCTGCATTAAACCAATTCACAGATAAACTATAAATATAATCATTAAAATATAAAATAGAAATAAAGATTTAGAGGTAATTAATTAAAATAATCATTAAAATATACTGATTTCCTGAACTGATTAAGAAAAAGAGCAACTTTCTTTTGAGAAGCAGCATTTTGCAGTTTCTCCACTAATGCTCTTAAATATATCTGGACATTTCCATCTCAATCAAAACACTTTTAATGTTGTAGAGTGGAGAATCATTTACCTCAGTGTGTCCAGTTTACAGTGTTGACTCTTCAGTCCATCAGAGAGAAGCTTCACTCCTGAATCCTGCAGGTCATTGTTACTCAGGTCCAGCTCTCTCAGCACACAGTTTGAGGATTGTAGAGCTGAAGACAAACTCTCACAGCACTCAACAGTGAGATTACACCACTGCAGTCTGTGTAGAGGACAAACAGCAACACAATCAGCAGTAAGAAATGAGCAGTGTTGAGTGTTCATGAGTTCAGTCTACAGTGATAAAAGCAACACTGGAAATAAACTATATATATATACTGCTCAAACAATAAAGGGAACACTAAAATAACACATCCTAGATCTGAATGACTGAAATATTCTTATTAAATACTTTGTTCTTTACACAGTTGAATGTGCTGACAACAAAATCACACAGACATGATCACTGGAAATCAAATGTATTAACCCATGGAGGACTGGATTAGGAGTCACACTCAAAGCTGTAGTGAACTGCAGGAATTGCTGACACACTCCAGACACATGAGGTCCAGCATTGTCTTGCATTAGGAGGAATCCAGGGTCAACCACACCGGTATATGGTCTCACAAGGGGTCTGAGGATCTCATCTCGGTACCTAATGGCAGTCAGGCTACCTCATGGTGTTGTACCATGGTGTTGGGCTGCAACCCCCACCTGTGGACATTGGGCCCTCATACCACCCTCATGCCTCAGAACAAGCCTATTTAATTCATTTAGAAATATCTTTTTATTTTTTTTATTGATTGAAACTACATTAAACTGAAGCTGTATTCCCCCATTCATATGACTGTACTGAATTATTGAACAGATTATTAATAACTAATCAGAGAGCATTTTACTGAGCTCAGTGTAAAGTTTAGTGTTTAGGCCTACAGTAAATGTAATATTAGAGGCATGTCTGCGGCGAGACGGCAATACTGTGTCTAAAATTACACTATTTCTCTGATCAGAAAACAAACACAATTATCCAAGAGCAACACTGTGTTAGATTTGAGCAAATACACATCAACAAATGTCCTATTCAGCTGCAGGAGCACAGGGATTTACAGGGATTTGAGTTATTTTCCAGGATAAACTGTAAAGCAAATGAAGTAGATTATTAAATAAGTACAAATGTTGTTTGTGTGAGTAAAAAGTCAAGAAAAGTTTGTTAAATACGTTTAGAAATGCTGAAATAAATGAGCAAATAAGGAAACAGAACACTGCCGCCGCGTCCCCATGCAGTAATATGGTGTATCAGCGATCTCACAGGGGGACGATACGGCCAGCTAAAGATTTTCTGTTAAAGCAGGGCAGTGATTCACTAAACTGATCTGAGTCTTCAGTGCAGACTGATGTGTGTCTTCTGTGATCAATCAATGAATACTCACAGAGCTCTTCTGCAGTTTCTCACAGCTGCTGTCAGTCTCCGTCTTCCCTCATCTGATGTGTTGAATTTATTAGAGTCTAACTCATCCAGCGGCTCCTCTGACATCTCAATCATGTAGGAGATTGTTGAGCAGTGAGCAGGAGAGAGTTTCTCCTCTGAGTGTTTGTCTGATTTCACAAACTCCTGAATCTCTCTGGCCAGAGTCTGATCTTTCACCTCCAGCAGACAGAGGAACAGATTGATGGATCTTTCAGCTGAGAAATGTTCATTTCTTTTGATCATGTCTTTAATGTCCTGTGTGATTTCTCTGATGTTCTCTGAGCTCTCCTCTGTGTGTGTCAGCAGATCCTGGAAGAGTCTCTGATTGGACTCCAGTGAGACGCCCAGCAGGAACCGCAGGAACAGATCCAGATGACCATTACTACTCCTGACAGCTTTAACTACTGCTGAACTGAGCAGATCATACAGAGACTTCTCAGAGCTGGACTGTAGATATTGATCATATGAATATTCATATTCTTCATCATCTGAATATTCTTCATCATAAATCACCCACAGTGGTTCTCTGTTCTCTGTTAAATGGCAGTAAAACACAAAGAAAGCAGCCAGAAACTCCTGAAAGCTGAGATGGATGAAGCTGTAGACTTTCCTCTGATGAATCACAGATTCCTCCTTGAAGATCTCAGTGCAGATCCCAGAATACACCGAGGCGTCAGTGACGTCTACGCCGCTCTCAATCAGGTCCTCCTCATAGAACATCACATTGCCCTTCATCAGCTGTCTGAAAGCCACTTCAGCAAGTTTGAGGATCACTCCTCTGTTGGACTGCAGGAGTTTCTCTGGATCTCTCTCTTCATACTTCTGCTTCCTCATGTTGATCTGAATCAGCAGGAAGTGGATGTACATCTCAGTCAGAGTTTGAGGGATTTCTGCACTCACATCTTCTTCCAGGAGCTTCTGAAGCACAGTGGAGGAGATCCAGCAGAAGACGGGTATGTGGCACATGATCTGGAGGCTTCTTGCTCTTCTGATGTGGGAGATGATTCTGCTGGCTTGATGCTCGTCGCTGATTCTCTTCCTGAAATATTCCTCCTTCTGAGGCTCAGTGAATCCCTGAATCTCTGTCAGACGCTTGATGTATGTGGAGGGGATCTGATGGGCTGCTGCTGGTCTGGAGGTGATCCAGATGAGAGCAGAGGGAAGCAGATCTCCTTTCAGGAGGCTCCGCATCAACACAGCCACTGATGAAGATTCAGTCACAGCACAAACTTTCTCCTCATCTGAAAAGTTGAGTGTGATTCTGCTTTCATCCAGACCATCAAAGATGAACACAACTCTACACTGCTCATAAATCTTGGGCTCCAGATCTTCAAGTTCAGGATGAAAGTCCAGCAGAAGTCTGTGAAGACTGTACTGATGATCTCTGATCAAGTTCAGCTCTCGAAATGGAAGCACAAACATGAAATCTACATCCTGATGGTCTTTTCCCTCGGCCCAGTCCAGAATGAACTTCTGCACAGAGACGGTTTTCCCGATTCCAGCGATGCCTTTAGTGAGAACAGTCTTGATCTGGGCTTTCTCCTTCTTGATCTTCTCCTCATGTCCTGCTCCAGCTGAGGCTTTAAAGATGTCATTGCAGTAGACTGGAGTGTGTTGTGAGGGTTTTGTTCTGGCTCTTTTCTCCATCTGTAAAACCTCATGTTCTTCATTCACTCCTTCACTCTCTCCTTCTATGATGTAGAGCTGTGTGTAGATGCTGTTCAGGAGGGTTTGAGTCTCTCCATGGTTGATTCCCTCAAATAATCTCTCATACTTGTTCTTCATGCTGGTTTTGTGCTGCTCTTTGACTCTCTGAAGTTCATCATGTTCTGGTTGGAGTGAATCCTGCTGCAGGTCTCCAGTCTGATCATCTCCATCCACACTGCAGGAACAACAACAACACAAAGAGTCAATAAGTGTGAGTGTAAAGATCCTGTAGCAAAGCAGAGTGTGTGTTTCTCTCGATGTGCGTTTCACCTGTTAAACACTCTGTTATTACTTATAAGTAGTAGTAGTGTTGAATATTCTTGCCAGTGGCTATATATTTTGTACAGAGCTGAGCAGGTTGATCTCTTAGATCTTACCAGTTAAAGTTATTATCAACTTTTATTACAAGACTGATACTGATTGGTCAGAGCTGGTCATTCTGATAGGAGATATTCTGTAATATTCATCATTATTAGCATTTTTTTTTCTTGATGGAAGATTTGTGAGCTGATCAAAAATCATTATTTAGTGTTCGATCATTTAGTGTTCGATCATGTGTCTATTATCGCTCACTGTAATCAATCAGTAATGTCCACTCCTCATCATTGTCCAGTAGTTGTGTGTGTATCAGAATATAAACACTGCATCACTTCATCTTCATCCTCCACTTCAGACATCTGACTGTCCAGAACTCATGTCATAACACAAGTGTCCTTCCTCTACTGACTCATCTGTATTTCTGCAGCGCTTTAACAGTGATGATTGTGTGAAAGCAGCGCTGAACTAACACTCTAATAATCCTCTACTGTTGATCAAATGAGCATGAGCTGACACTGAGTGTAAAAGTCTCTTGTGTTGAGGAGAATGTCTCGAGTGGACTGAGAGAATAAAGTCTAATAATGTCTGATCTCTTCTAGAAAACACATGATCATATAAATGCTGCAGTATAGTCAGGTGTGTGTGCAGATGATCTACCTGAAGACAACAACAGGTGGTGTGTGTTCACTCCTAAAATCAGTTTTTGGGTGATTCATAGACGCGTCACTCTTCAGAGACACACAGCTGGGCTCTGCTTCTGCTCTCCTCCTCTTCTGTGAGCTGAAACAGAGGAGATTAAAGTTCAGCGCTGCACACACTGGACTCAACACAGCAGATATGTGGGGTGCGTCAAATCCTGCAAACAGAGCATTATTGGGGTGCGTAAAAGCAGAAACGACCTTCTTTTCTTGTCTTTCATCAGTCCTGCAGCGCCACTTTACAGACGCATCGGGCAAAACTGCAAATACAAAATGTGTTCTGTTTCCACAAACAAGTGTTGATGTTTTTATATGACGTGGTAAAATTCACAAGTTTGCGTGACGCACTGCAAGCGACTAGCCCAACAGTGCAAACGTGACATGATTTTGGCCTCACTGCTCAACCTCCAGGGCGATTGGCCCGGCCTGGCTCGATTAAAGCTCTGTCTCGCACTGGCCCGACAGTGGAAATGCGGCTACTGAAGTGAGTCACCAATCAATCAGGAGCGCTGTGTTTCCCAGAGGTCAGCCAGGCAAGGGAAACTCTAGACTTCAGCAAAAGCGCAAGTAACAAATAAACATTGTCTCTTGCTGGTCTGGGGCAGATTGATCTTAAGCAGTTAGAAATAAGCTGAATATCTGCTTTTGTGGTTTCTCAGGTGTTATTCTAAGACTTAGTAATAAGTATTAGAAAATAATTTGGGATGGTCAACAACTCTTTTTACATCCTCTGAACTGCCTCCGTGTGAATGTGTGTGTGTGTATGTGCGTTTGTGTGTTGTTTACTTATTACGTAGTTAGTTTCATGCATGGTAGTGTAGCTCAATAAATCTTTGTTCTCATTTTGTACGAACTGTGTTCATGTTTATGTGCTTCTTAAGGTGCTTTCACACCTAGACTTTTGTTTGGGAACCGGTCTCGTTTGCCCAGTTAGCGTGGTTTGTTTGGCATATGTTAATCCAGCAATCGCATTTGGATCCAAGCCAAAACAATAACTCTGAGATCGCCTGAATGAGATAGTCTAGACTTGATTGAAACGAACTCTGGAGTGGATCGATTGTAGTGAGAAAGCGATACGATCTAAGCCTGGCTATATTACAGTATTTAATGGATTTGTCATGGGCATACTGCCACCTTAGAATTATAAGGTTCTAGCTGACATTTTTGTTAAAATTGCGTTATCGACATATTCTTATTTAATGACAACTTATTTACATTTTGGGATGTTTTTTTGTAAGTTGCTTACATTTTAAGACTTATTTAAAAAAAACAAAAACAAATGTTACACACATACTGTTTGCTATGGAATGCAAAAATTTTTAAGCTCAGTATCTCAAAATCATTGCCAATGCAAAGAGAACCTTATAATTCCAGGGTGACGATACGGCTATATGAAGAGAGAACTATGAGCAGGGCGGGAGGTCATTCCAGACATCCCAAGTCTCCTGGAAGCTTCTAAAGTCTCCCGCAAATGCACATAGACTACCGGATGCCCACAAACAAGTGATATCTCCCAGTAATCGCCCGTCTCCCTCCCGAGATTCAAATACGTCGCGCAATAACTTGCTCTTCAAACACATTGCGCGCACCCTGTCAAACACCACCAAACCACCACCTCCCTGACAGCTGAGCCGGACTCTGCTAAATAAACCGTGAAACCAATGTGAGGAGAGTTTACTCACACATGACTTGTTTTAGCTCTTTTGGTCCGTTTAGAAACTTTGCAGTGTGAAAGCGAACCGCTCCAAGAGCAAAGAGCAACACTTTAACTATTTTAATTCCTGTTTTGGAACAAATGAATCAATTCACAGGTGTGAAAGCACCCTCAGTCATTGCCTCGAGCTGTAGACCTTGTTACCTTGCTAAAAGTTAACCAAATACTATGTTAAGTTATTATTGGCCACAGAAATAATATAAATGAAATTGGTAAAATATAATGCCTTCCATTTGCTGCACAAATGGTAGATCAAGTGTGAAACGTTTAATCTGATTCAGTCTGACTCAATTGAGTCAAGTCAAGTGATTCAAGTCTTCAAAATCTGATTCCTTGAAATAAGCTGATGAATCACTGATCGATCTTTTAACGTAGGTTGATCCCAGCCGAACCTCGACATTAAGATGGGATAAGATCAGCCTTCAACTCCCCATCTTCCGTTTACTCTTCTTTCTTTTCTTTCTGTCGAGAGTCTAGTTAAGTTGCATCGCGAAACCAGTCAACATGACTACAGTTTTCGCAGTCTCTAACATAATCTACGGGACTTCACTTCATCAGCAGTCTCAGATATGTCACTTCAACGGCAAACCAACCACCAGTGAACTCACGTGGGAATCCAGCTCCACAGAGGGGTTTCACCACAGCATTAAGGAACGCAAATACATCTCCAGATCAATTGTGCTAAAATCTGCTAATCATGTTAAATGATAACCCTGTCTAAAAAACAGTATAGGTTGAATTTATTATTTGGTTCACTTGGTTAGGTTTTACATCTTAAAGTTTTACATCACATCTCTCCTGAACTCTTTTTTACTTCTACTCCTTGTCTGCAACCGGTATGAATGTGTGTGTGTGTTAGTGTTGTTTGTAGTCAATAACGTCTCTTTTGTATTGAAAGGAAAGTGGCCTGTGTATACTTAGGAATCTATTGCCTTACACCTAGATCTTGTTACCCTGCTTAAATATTAAAGTGTTTTTACTTTATTTCGAATAGAAATAAGCCCTGTCTGTTCAATCGAGCGCTGGATGATTTGTTTGTTCAGTTCGAAAGAGTTGATTCTTTTGAAGCCGATTTAAATTCTGTTATATTCCCTTTGAGCTAATTTAAAGTTAACGCACTGCATAATTGTGTATTACGTGTGTGAGGATCCACATGCAGAGCTCAGATTCAACATCTAACCTTTTAATCTCAAATGGAAAAAAAAAAATCACATGACTCATTTATTATGGGATTAATCATTAGTTGCAAACCTAATAGAGATGGTCCACCTGAGAGCAGGTGGTGTGTGTTCACTCCTAAAATTGTTTTCTGGGTGACCCATAGACGCGTCACTCTTCAGAGACACACAGCTGGGCTCTGCTTCTGCTCTCCTCCTCTTCTGTGAGCTGAAACAGAGGAGATTAAAGTTCAGCGCTGCACACACTGGACTCAACACAGCAGATATTACTCATTCTTCATTTAAATAAACTCCTGAAGCAGCACTTCATACATTCATTTCCTTTATATCTGAACAGAAACTGTCTGGATGTGTTAAATGAGTTAAAAGATCAGACAGAGATAAATATATCAGCAAACACAGATCAATGAGCACTTCTAGAACAAAAACATAAGAGAAACTCAGCACTATTAGAGCAGATCAGGGCTGAATCAACTCATCATCAAATCACTGAATGAAGTCCACAGTGTCGGTGTGGGAGGAGTTTAATCATGCAGGCGTGTCAATCATCATCACATGACTATATAAGCAGCAGTATAAACTGCACTGTGTCAGCTGACTGTTATTCCCGCCTCCAGCAGCTCCCCTTATCCTCCTCCTCATCACTCAGTCTTCAGAAGGTCACTCATCGGGGGTTTGTCTGCAGAGCTCCAGTCCAGACTTTGAGGACAGCAAGACAAGTTCATTTACCATCATCTATCATGACTGAATGAGCAGGAGAACTCGAGAAATATCAATTCTAGAAACCAAATGTGTTGATCAGCAGCATCTATGAGGCCAACACAACATGATGATGACTGCGCTTCAGTGAAAACAGACTCAGATCAGAGGAATGGCTGATCAGTACAGCACAGAAACAGCAGGGGAAAGTGTGCAGGAAAAGCCCTTTATGGCAGGAGATCGGGAACACTTTAGTTCAGCTCACAATTCATACTATTAACTACCGGCTTATTATCTGTGGAATGTGAACATATGAACTGCTCATTAGTAGTCATACAGTATGATCTTATTGTGGATCCCTAACCCTACCCAAAACCTAAACCCACCTTCTACCTCACTAACTATTAATAAAGCGCTGATTGGTTTGTTAACACCATCAATTGTGGCCTGAAGTGTAAAGCGGAGATCTTCAAGCACTATCCTGCAGAGCTCAGATACAACATCTAACATCTGAAACCCAACAGATCCACAACACTAATTACCTGATTCATTTATTATGAAAATACTCATCAGTTGCAGATATTAAAGAGATGATCTACCTGACAGCAGCTCCTGTGTTTCCACTCTTAAATTTTACCGGTGGATCCATAGACCAGTCACTCTTCATAGACACACAGCTGGGCTCTGCTTCTGCTCTCTTCTGATGAACTGAACTAAAACAGAGAAGATTAAAGTTCAGCGCTGCACACACTGGAGTCAACACAGCAGATTTACTCAACATTTCATCATTAAAACACTGTTTAAACAGCACTTCATGATACTTTTCATGATGATTGTACACAATCTTGCTGACTGAGTGTGTTAAATATTCTGACAGATTAAAAACACAAATAACAGAGAGTAAATATAATATCCCCAGACAGCTCACATATGTTGGGCCGATGTCAGCCGAAGGTCAACACGTCGGCCCCTTTAATTCTAACATCTATATATGGTCAGCCAAACATACACATGTTCATTCGGTCGTGTGTTCTATTGTTCCAGCTCATCAAACGTCGGCTCTGCATCGATTAACGACCAGAGGCTGACGAAGCACTTCATAAGCATTTTATCTCTCATACCCTTGAAAGAATCCGGCAACATATTTGGTTTACAAGTAAGTTTTTGCATGCATAATAGATTAAACAAACGCGACATACATCATGTCTATGGCATCAGTCGGTCCAGCTTTAAATTGCCTGCATTAATGCATTAAAACTGACCAAAATATCTACAACATATCATTTCAATTCATTATAATATAAGAAAGTTTTGTTTTCATTGTTTTGTTTTTTTTAATAATAAAAACATTTTGTCCTGCTGTAAACTGGTTTGCTTTTTTTATTGTGGCTTTTTCTAAAGCATTTTTCCCAGTGTAAGTTAAAATCAAAGTCTGTTCTGCATTTCGGCTGTTAAATTAAAATAAATACCTTTTCACAGAGTGACATCTTTATTTTATATACATGCATTTAGATTTAGTGCTTATTTATTTTTGACAGTGAATCTGAGGCACAAATAAAGTGTGACTTTGTTTTGTAACAGTTTATAACAATTTATAAGCTCATCGTAAAAATAATAGCGTATATAAAACAGCTAAATGCATTTTAAATTCAAGATTTAATATAAAAGGTTATTATTTAAATTGTTTATGGAGTGATCATGTTTATTTATGTAAATACAGCATGACTTCGATGTGCGTGCGAGCGCATCTCATTCCAACACTGTTGCTATAGGAAATGAGGCAACGACATGGCACGACGACACCACCTGAAAGAGACAACAACTTCTTTCACGCTTCTGTTTTGACTGCTTTTAGGCAAGTTTAGTCCCTAAAACAAGGCAAATACTACATAAAACTGTTCCTGACACTTTTATTATTGATAATTGATGCATATTCTGTTAAATATTTATGTTATATAAGAGTGGTTAGTAGAGATGCTCCTATCAGCATTTTTGCAGCCGATCACCGATCGCCAAAATCATGATCTGCAGATTGCCGATCACTGCCGATCACAGAAAGGCCATTCAATTAGGGCTGTGACGGTCACCATGACAATCGCGTCACCGCGATAGACGGCGGCAAGGGAAAAAAGCCGCCTATAATCAACTCTTATAAACGCAAACGCCCAGCTAGTCAGTCAAATGTCGCAGAGGCATTTCCAGAAATGGCCTGGTGCAAAAAAGAAAGTGATGAATAGAAGACATTGATGAGAAATGGAGAAACATATTTGGAAAGTTAAGAACGCGACGCTCCGCAGTGTAGAGAAACCTGCTTACCGAGAAATGTGGGAGGCGGAACAGAAGCAAGAAACAGTGTCTGTGCATTTGCACTACAAGCACACCGTCTGAACGTGTATTGCTGGAAACATTATAATCCCAATTATGTCTTCACTTAAACTGGACAAAGTCAACATGTTAATTTTTCTAGCAAGGAATTTAAAATATGAATAGAAAACAAAAGATGGACAGAACCTGCGCTGGTTTTTTAAACATCTGACTTATATTGTCACTAGCAGACTTATATTTTTGTACTTCTTTACTATTACGGATTAGTAAAGTGCAATTTAGGCTATTTGTTAAGTTCTTAAATAAGTAACAATTAATTATTATTTAAGTAATAAAAGTTATTTGATATTTAACTACATGTTACGATAACCAGCGATCATTCTCTGGAGATCGCTGGTTTCCTCTATCATCATTAACTTCACTTCCGCCTTCCCCAGGACTACATTTTCATACATGCACTTCTTCCAAACACGCACGCCTGGTCATTCATCTTCCTGATTACATCACCAGCTGAAACTTGTCACAGACTGATATTTCACACAGTATTTAAGCAGCACACACACTCATTCACTTTGCAGAGTCTTGTTTACTGTTTGGTGACATTTCTACGCGTTTCTTCCTGTCTTGTTTCTCCATGTCTGAATCTAGCTTAGTATCCTCGTTATCCTGTTTAGCCGCCAGCCTTTCGACCTTTTGCCTGTACCTCGATTACGACTCGGGATTTGCCCTCACATACCTGTTCATACCTGTTTTGACCATTGCTTGCCTGACCTTCGAATAAACCTGCATTTGGATCTTACCTTCAGTTGTTTGTATCAATTCCAATCACAACACTACAACACTTATAAGCAGTTTTGTATTGTTTTATTAATGAAAGTTCAAAAATAAACATGTACGTTTATACGAATGTTTTATTAATTAATATTTAATTAAGTTATGAGTTATTCCTTAATTTTTAAATAAAAGGTCAATTAACTTAGGTAGGCTACTTTATTTCTTGGAGGTACGGGAGGAAACTTTTTTGCCCGTGAATATGTTCTCTCTACTTAAAAAAATAAATATATATATATATATATATATATATATATATATATATATATATATATATATATATATATATATATATATATATATATATAAATATCACAAAATCATTCTTCATAATCGGATTCACACATGCAATAAACCTATTGCGCGGAAAAGAACAAGTCTGGAGAGAGAAGAGTTAATAATATGCAATAAATATTAGTTAATATTAATGATCATAAACACGAACTACGTTATGATAAACGCCTTCACAATGTCATGTCTACGATCTTTTCTGAAGAACAGATAATCCATGACGTCTCCCTAGGCAGGTTTTCATCTGCGTTTTTTTCCTCTTCTCGCTACAAACAATAAAGTATCAGCGCCAGACCAGTGGTTAAAATTATATTTTACTCTCCTGATTTCTTTCCGTTTTATTTCAAAACACATAAATATATAAAGTTTTGTATTTCATATATATTTTTAAAGATTATCATTCAGCCTACATGCAGTGCGTATGAGAGGTTGATGCAGCAAATCTCCTTTACTCATGCACTGTACACATTTCATTTATGACACTGTAAACTTGACTTGGCAGGCTGGTCATCTTTAGACTCAAAAGGCATTTTTAAGTGTCCTAACTTGAGACTGCTGCTGGGATGTTTCTTATTGTTAGCGATGTCTAAATGAAAGCAAACATTAAAAAGGGTTTTGCGTGTTATCAATTGTATTGTTTCGTTTTAATAATAATGAATATAATAAATTATAATATTGATTATAGTGCAGACTAGTGTGCAGTGTCCAACAAAACATTTTTATTAGGTTACTCTAGACCTAATCGCTAACTGAAAAACAAATGTGACAATGCAGTTGCGTCTCTGCTAAAACTAATTTAAAGACAAATTTCTTTTGCGTTTTTTTCTCTTTAGAAATCCAGAGAGCTGTATTGAAAGAATTAGTTAAATAAAAAGAATGAAATGAATGTCCAGTACTTTCCTGTGTGAGTTTAGTGCGGCTCCGCGTGCGCGTTTTAAAGGCTACTAGTACACCCTGACCTGACGCGGGGACCAGATCTCTGCACTATTGCTTTAATTTCACAATTTTAATAATTTCATTGCATTTTCATATGGTAAAATATCTAAATTTATGTTCTTAAAGTAGTATCAATGACGAGAATGTTGGTAATTATAGGCAGAAAGAACTGTTACTTTTGAGTGAACTTCTGTCACAGATTATTTTAGTTTTTAGTATGATTGACATATAAGTACTAGTACATAAAATAGATACTACTATCTAATGATTAAGTCCTAGTGCCTAATGAATAAGTACTAGTATCTAATACTTGAGCACCAGTATCTATTAATTAGGTACTAGTATCTAATTAATAAATACCAGTAGTTAATGAATAACTAGCAGTACATAAAATATGTACTAGTCCCAGTTGGAATACATACTATTAACAACAGAATAGTTACTAGTCACTAAAAAAATTAGTATTAGTATCTAATACATAAAAACTATAAATTTAATAAGTACTACTTATTGAAAAAGTACTAGTATCTAATAAATAAAACTATATATTTAATAAGTACTATACTTAATGAATAAGTACTAGTATCTAATACATAAGAACTATATATTTAATAAGCACTATTAAATGATTAAGTACTAGTATCCAATAAATAAAAACTATATATTAATAAGTACTATACTTAATGAATAAGTACTAGTATCTAAGAAATAAAACTATATATTTAATAAGCACTACTAAATGATTAAGTACTAGTGTCTAATAAATAAATTAAAACTATATAAGTACTATCTAATGAATAAGTACTAGCAGTGTCGGAGTGCTAAATAGAAAGATAGTAATGTATTTAATTTATTTTATTTTGTATTATTTTTGGCCTGCTTTTTGCCAGCTGTTATGCTGCCACCTATGGGGCATACTAGTCACTGCACTGTAGGAAACTCAATATCATGTGAACCTAATCAGCAAGAAGCATGGCAGTGGGTAGAGATACAGTTTTCAAACGCTCAGTTGGAGGACATTGAGAAATTATTGTAAGTTGTTTGTTTTGGAACATGTTTTGGAAGCAAGAATAAAAATGGATCGAAATTCAAGCAAGTATCCTGCGTCTAAAAACATTACCTGCTGGGGACAGCGAAATCAGCGAGGAATTTGCTGTATCAAGTAGCCTATAATAAAATAAACTAGTGTGTAATGAGTAAGCACAATTATATTTTTAAAAAGCACTATTTAATTAATAAGCACAAGTAATTAATGTAAAAGATTTCTAAAAAATAAGCACAAGTAACATGAAAATAGATACTAATACTATATAAATTAAATTATAATATAAATTAAATGCAAAAACGGCTTGCCATACATGCACAGCAAGCTGGAGAGTGACACACACACACACACACACACACACACACACGGCAGGCCAGGGAAATTTTTCTCTTTGGATCCCCCGTGACTGAATGCCGCTAAAGTTCACCAACACCTC